CTTCCAGGTGGAAAAGTTTTCCTTTTAAGTCCTCCTCCCCTTTCCCCCTCAACCCCTCCGCCGAGGCTCATAGAGAATCTCCTATGGCTACTAAAATCAGTGCGCTGCCATATGTGGTTTATTTAGAAACTGAATGTGGAATCTGAAGGCAATCACAAAGCTGTTTGCTTGTGCGTTCGTACAGTTTGTCACGAGTGCGTGTTTGTGCCTGCAGTTCTGTATATGTGTGTGTATATATTTTTTGTTTATATATATATAAATACGCACACACATATATATAAAAAAATAACTGGAGTTGCTCCTCCATTCCTAAGAAAAAAAAAATTAGTAGCAAAAAGATGGGAAATAGTTTGGGGGGCTGGGGGGACATGTGTTTTTGTTTTGCATCCCTTCGATCAAGAAACCCCGAAGTCTACATCCCAGCCTACAGATTTTCTCCTTGGTGACGTTTTCCCAGCTCTTCATCGCGTTGCAACTGGCAGGGTGACGGTGAGCCGTGCCCCCAGCCCCAGCTGCCCTCCGTCCCCGGCCGCGTTGCCTGTGGCGCTCGCGGTCCTTGCCGCAGCAGCTCGGCGGGGAGTGCGGATGGAAACTGAGTCACCTGGGTGGTAGGGCTCGAAAACCCAGCCTTAAAAATAAACACGGCGAAAAGGCTTTGAATGGGTCAGCGCCGCGGGACATGTCGCCCGCTTGCCTTTGTGGGCTCTGGTGCCAAGTTTATCGAGCGCCGTGTTGGGAGCTTGCTAGCGAGCGGGTGGGTTGTGTGGAAGGCGAGCAACCTTTGCTCTCGAACCTTGGTTCTTGAACTGTGTGGCCTGCCTGCCTTCCTGATAAGGATATCGAGTTATCTGGTATATAGGAGTGCAAAGCCGCATCAGCAGGTTTCCCGACTCTTGGTTTGTATAGGTTTCTGCAGAATGGGCTGCTGCTCTAGTAAACGGTCTTGTTTTGCCACAAGGAGGCCAAAGGAAATGATTTTGATTAATTAGTTTAGCCTCATGTAAATCATGGACTGTAAAACTTGCCCAGACTATTTCCTGTTTGAATGCCTGCATATCGGTCTAGGGAAACTCGAGACTTAACGTAAGAATGGCTTGAGTTGAAGACTTCACCACTGTTCCTGTATGATGATTGATTGTACTCTGTTTTTTAATAATGTGGCCCTTTATAACCGTTATAAATGGATCTGGCTTCAGAGTCTAAGCTTAGCTGCGAGCTTGTAGAGCCATTTCCTAAGTCTTATTCCCTGTTTCAGTTCTTAAACAAAGTTCATGTTCTGCCTTCATTTCCTCTTTAACAAGCTGAATAAATTGTCTTTTTTTTTTTTTTTTATTATTATGACGCAGGTTTTCCAAAGCTACAGTGATTCTTTTGATTCTCTGAACTTTTTCCAGTTTATCTTTCTTGGAATTTGGCAATACAGAATTTGAGCCTGGGTAATGGCCAGTAGCAGCTGCCTCCATGATGAACACGGAGCAAATAAATTCCTCCTTCACACCCCTCAATTTTCTGAAGTCTTTAAATGAGAGCCGCCGTGACTGTGGGAGAAATCTGTGCTCTGGGCTGCGCGCTGGACAAGTGCTTGTGCAGTGGATGTGCGCTTGGCGTGGGACTGTACTGCAGAACCGTAGCTGGGGAATGAGTCTTACCAGGGGCCTTCTTTTAAGTATTAAGCCCTGATAAAAGACAAGATTTCTGCAAGCCATGCAGTGCCGTTGTCTCCCTCCTGCTCTGAGACCGTGTGGGCTTGGGACTATGCCCACAGCACCTTAGGCTGAGAGAGGATCTCCAGCCTTGGGCTGTGCCTGAGGCTGCACGAGCTGCCGAAGCTCTGGCAAAGCCGCTTGGGCTGGGCTGAGTTCAGGGTCCCTCGTGCTCAGAGCATGAGCAGATGCCTGCTGTAAATCGTGCTCCCAAACCTTGCAGTACCTTGGTCTCGCAGGAGCTCGCTCGGCTGAGTCTCTCGCGTGGTCCCAAGTCCTTCTGAGATCTCCGCTTCTGATTCTCACATCACCTGCCATGTGAGCATGACTTCTGCCCTTTTATTTTTAGCAGTAAGATTTCACCTTCAGAAGTATTTAAAAACACGTCTTTTTTAATGGCCGCTTACCAAGCAATCTATTTGTTTTTTTTTTCTTAATCAGTGACCTGAGCATTTTATTACTCACTGCTCCTGGTGATGCTGTGTTATCTGCAAGCTTCAGTGGTGGTGACCTTTTCTCTCAGATCGTTGATAAAATATTCGAGCCTGGGGCCAAAACCTGATCCCTCTGGGAACCCACTGAAAGCGTATGCCTCAATCTGCTGGTTTATATTTTACATTGGGAGACATGATATTTCTTCAGCCTATTGAATATGTGTCATGTTAACTTCATGTCATTCTGGCTTGTTTTTGTATAGTACTAAGTCTGTCTTACAAGAAACAATGCGTGTTAAGCTTGTAACATTATTTCACAATTTGAGAAGCTGGTTTATCAATTATTGTGGAATTATAAGCATAACCTAGAGTAGGTAGGTTAACTTGCTGCTACTTAGGTTGTCTTGTTTACGCTTAAAAATTTCCATATTTTGCTTTTTCCAGTCCACCAGTATTGTCTCTTGCTGGGTAGCTGTTGTTTTTTATATTCTCTTTCATAATTGTTAGGATGAAAATCGTTTCATTACCATCCTGTGGGATGGCTGTATCATGTGTTACTTCTCATATAACGAGCAGTAATTGAGAACCGCCCCCTCCCAGGGGTATTGAATTAAACATTTTGATACTTTTTAAAAATAACTTCAGCCAAGTAGTGGCCTGATATCATAATTACCGAATGAGCATTAATTCCTAGCGAGCTCAGAAGCAATCTTTTGTTTCACTCTGAACTGTTCTCTGTGAGCTCTTTCTTTCTTGCTTTTGTTGCCTTTATTATTTGCCCAGATTTTCTGGATTCTGGTTTATGTTAATTCTCTTTAATTTTTCCTTTCTTCCACTAGCCTAAATATATAATAATTGTATAAGAGCTGTATTTCATATAGAAAGGAGGGTTGTTCACCTCGTATGGCTTTCTCTTTTTCTAATGATGGGATGGCAGAGTTGTTTTGGTTTTGTTTAAGACATCTGCTGAAGCATTCTTAAATGGTTTGTGATCATCATTCATGCTTTCTTACTGAAAGACTTTCAGATTCTCTTGATCTTCTGTTTTATGGGGAGGACTTGAAGAACCTGACTGTCTCTTCAGGACAGACAGGTCTGTCTTTTTTTGGAAAAAGAGTGTCTGGCTCTTTGCCAGAGCAAATGAATATATTTCACATGGTTTGTTGCAGGAGGAGGTTAGGAGGGATCACTTTTTTGGTCTCACTGACTCCCTTTTTCTGCCTTTATTCCTCTTACTCAGTTCCAGAAGTGGCTGCTGTGGTGGCTCTGTGACTCTCGGGGACTCCCAGTATGTGCATGTGTAGAGGGAGGCTGTCTCAGTATCTGCCTTGCAAAAGTCCTTTGTTAGCCTAAGCGTAACTGAGGGCTCTAAATTTAGCTTTACATAACCTTCACTCTGTCCTGTGGATTTTTTGTTTTGTTTGTGCAGTTGGTAAAAACTCCCCCCCCCCCCCTTTTTTTTTTTTGTCTTCCTGCTCCTTTTCCACTGAGCGAGGCCCTCGCTGCCCCACGTGGGAAGGCCAGCTGCTGCGGGTGTGCTGCTGGGCTCGTGCGGCGGACAGTAAGAGGGAGTTGGGCTGCATGGCAGCGTGTTAGCGCTGCTCCCCAAGCGACCTGCTGCCTACTCACCGGCTTGGACAAACAGGGATCTATGGTGCTGGCCTCTTAACGTGTCTCATCTCCTTCCTGAACCCATGCTTTGGATGGGGAGGAATTAGGATAAGTCTGCAGCAGTTGCAAGAATGACCAGGTTATGGTGGGTGGTTTTAAATGGCAAGGGACAAGTCAGTGGCATTTGGCAAAAATACGTAGCTGGAGATGAAGTTCTTACGTAACCTTAGCATGCTGCATGTCTTTTTGCATTTATTTTGTCCAAGTGCAGTGACTTCCCCCTTCCCCTCCCATTGCTTTCCCTGTGCACCCTCATTCTTCTGGGTCTGCTCCCCCAGTGCCTCTGCTCCTCTGGTCTTCACCTGCAGCTTGGAGCTTCGTTTCTCATTCCCATAATCTTCTCTTAAGTCCTGCAAGATAAATAGATTAGGCATATCTTTCGCGAGCTTGGGAGCAAAGGATCAGATCTGGAAAGGAAAGAAATGAGGCTCCCCAGACAGAGTGCTCTGCTCCATGAGCTGCGGGGATCTGCATGGACCAGGGTCTCTGCAAGGCGGGCAGGGAGGTGGCTGAATGCTGCGCCATGGCCTGCTGTGGTCGTGAGCTTCCCTCTGCTTACAGCTCCTGCTGCCATAGCTGTCCTCCAGCAGTTGTAGTGCCCATGAGAGTGGAGACGTTGATCTGCCCTGGCGTTTCTGTGAAGGGAGACGTAGGTGAAGAAAGGGGATGTCTTCAACGGAGGAGAGCTCTCCAAAGAAGCTGAAACGCTTGTTCACGGCAAAATGAAGGCAACGCAGATTTGAAACTCTCCCTTGTGTTATGAGGACTCATGAGAAGAGCCAGTGCACGTATTACTAAATAAACTGTTCCGCTAGTCTTTGTCTCTCTGGAATGATGCAGAGAGGAGAGCTAAACTCAGCTTTGTGTTTAAGACCTTATCTTAAGATACGTTGTTTTCATCTACTGCTATTTTGGGGCCTGAACCTTGATTCGGTGCTCTTTTTGTTGTTTATTGTTTTAATAATATTGACCAAATAAATGTTTTCTGGCATTGTGGCAAAGGAGTTGTCTTAGTATGTATGTCATACATACTGTAAAGTATGGAGTGCCTTAAATTATCTAGACAAATGCTGTTCATGCTTTTCAGTATATATTTATTTGAGCTTGTTCACATCCTGTCTCCTGGTTTCCTGTCTCCCTTGAACTTTCAGCAGAGTTTCAAAACAAATTACTCTGCTTTTGACACAGGTTCTGCTTTTTCACTGGTGACCCCCACGGCTCCCATGGTGACTTAAGAAGAAACGCATCTTTTCTCAGCAGGAGAATGCCAAAGTACCAGTTTTGATGAGGTATTGGTCCATACAAAATGAAGTGCCAGAACTACTTCTGCAAGCTCCTTTTGTGAATTTCTGCAGAATTATGGCTGTACCAACGCAAGCTGATGGTCTTGAAGTATATGTCTCGTGATGTAGAGGAACACTGAAGGCAACTTTCAAACTCGGGGCGTTTTGACGTGAAGCGCACTGCAAAGTCGCGAGCTGAAAATGTTTTGACAGCTTTGAGAGGGGAGACTTTGATTATACCTGTTGCTGGATGCATACAGAGCTGGTGTCTTGCCAAAACGTTTGGGCTCAGTGAAAGTTGATGGGAAGGATGAGAGAGATGTCAGATCAAAACCCTCCGAATATTTCCATTGAAATCAAGAAGCCTGGCTCAGTACGTGCCTTATTTACTGTAAGGGATTTTCTAATATAGTTGTTTGTCTTGCTGTCTAGTTAGATCACATGCTAGGATGTAATTTGACATCAAACTGACTTTTTAGTGCATGGTACTTAATACTCAGCAACAGGAACATTGAACACAAAGTTCTGTTGGTGTTGGGTTTTTTTCTACCTTGACAACAGATATCTGCCTGATAGAGTGGGCAGCAGTTTCTGCTGGGCAGGGTCTACAACCCGTGGCAGCTGAAATCCTTATTAGCTGAAGACTGGTGATCCTTGAGCTCTGAAACAGGCAGGAGAGTTGATCTCCCATGTAAGGTGTTGTGACCTATGGATTTCTTCACATTTGTTCTGCAAGGCAACTCCTCTCTATGTTGTTCTCCTTTCCCTGCAATCAAGCATCTGTTGTTTGAGTTCAAGGCAGAGTTATCCATTTTCCCCAATTTTACACGCACCTGTAATTTTAACCATTATGTCTGTGAATATTAGGCAGTGTGTTGTTATGAAAATTAGTTTGTATTTTCCATAATCATACTAGGGAGTCTGCATTTGGGTGCTTGAAGAGATAGTCTGGCTCTTGAAAAGTTAAGAGCACCTAAATAAACATTTAGGCGCTTAAATTAGTGGCCTTTCTCTTCAAGCCTCAGCTTTCATGCTTTTATGTAACACAAACAAACAAAAAAACCCTAGTACTAAAAATGTCTGTAAAGCAAAACCTAGCAACTCTTTAGTGAAATAAATTACCCAATCTCTCCTTAAGCTGTCCAATACCAGTAGTAAAGCCTTGCTTATTTTATCATAACGAGCCAACTTTATAATTAAGGAACTGAATTTTCATGGGTGATTTGTAGCTTTGCTGCCAATATTAGGAAAAGGAAGGAATGATAGCCCCTACAAGCGGGAACTCTGCATTAAAACTTTGCAACAATTGAAGAAGTAAGGTATTTAAAGGAGAAGATAAGCATTTGTTTGTTTGTTTGTTTGTTTTAATTTTAAGTGTTCTGTCAGTTATCGGTGGCAAGCAAGAGCACGCAGCAAGCTGTACTGATGGAGAAAACGTTTCCTACCTACATTTTTCAGACTAATTTAAGAACTTTCTTTGAAAGATACTGGCTTGGTCCTTAGGGAGGAGGCTGTTAGGAACCTTTTAAATGTGAGAAGACTGGAAATCATCTCCATCCTGCAGGAGCACTAGGTAAGGACTAAGAGTGTTGCCTGGCTCTCCTGACAGAGTCCTGGTGCAGTATGCCCACTTGTATGGTCATGCATCTGAGTTGTCTCCCTGGTTATCCTCTTCTTCCAGTGATACCCGCAAGACTAGTGATGCTGTTTAAAATACAGGGGTTACATTGATTGTGTTCTTTGCAAAGTGCTTATCTATGCCTTTCACTAAGTGATGCTATTTTACAAGCACTGAGACAAGTTTTTTTTTTGTTTGCTTTTCTCCCCTCCCATTTCTCTTTACTGGGGAGGGAGGAGGATAAATGAAATCACATACAGTATGCCTGAATCTTGTGAAATACTTCTGTAGTATTAAAACCTATCTGCATGCATTCAAGAGGAAACCAGAGTAACTTTTTTTTCCAAAAGTGGCAGTAAGTCAAACCAGCTGTGCAAAGACAAAACACATTATCCCTGCTGCCTAGCTCCTGGGCAGCAAACGAGGCTATAAATGCCCACTGGTGAATTGTAAAATTTGTATATAAAGGCCTCAACTTGTCTGAAAACTTTCTTTAACTACTCATTTTTGACTAAACACTGGTTAATTGCCTGGAGGACCCTAGTAAGATGTGAAGTTCCTTTTGCAGTAAATGTAAGTTCCTTCCCAAGGGCCTGCAGGTGTTACACCTTTGAGACTTAACTAAATCATGTTTATTATCTCACAACTATTTTTGACTGTCATTTTATGCAGGGAGCATAGCTGGGGCAAATTTCTTCATTAGATAGTTTCAAAAAACAGAACTGATCTGTGCAAGTATCTTGTCTGGGTGCTAAAATCCATCAAGAGACCAATGACTAAGTTTTGGAAGCTGAACTGCCCTCTCTGTCTAGGGTGAGTCACGTTAGCTGGAGGTGGTAAGGGGAGGCTTGCCACTGCTCTTGGCTGTCTGGAGGTTAATGAGAGGCAGACCTGTCAGTTAAGCATGTCTTGCAGCCTCTGAAACTGCTCTTGGTAAAGAATTGTGACCTCGCTGCTCACCAGGTGAAGAGAAGGGCAAGGAGAAAAGTGCTGGAGAGTTTCAGAGTTGTCTGTAGTTCTCTCTCTCAGACTGAAGGTGCAAGAGGTGGTTTATGAGACAAACGAAGCGTGTTCCAGTGAGCCTGGCCTAAGAGTATAAGAGGCAAAACGGGAAGAAAAAAAAAAAAGGAGCTGGGACAAAAGAAAGAACATATCTAACAGGACAGCACACTCCAGACGCTTGCTTGCAGCACAGAAGTGGTGATGTATTTTGAGGTGGCAGCCAGGAACCCAAATGGGGAGGCTTCTTGAAGGGCTTCCAGCTCGCTGACTCACAGCTCTGGTGTTCTGACCCCGGTGACGCATCCCTCTCTGCTTTTAGCTCTTATAGGGAGGGGGTGGGAAACAGAAAAACATGCATCCAGGCTGTTGAAAATTAGACTAGATCCAATCATGTGCTGGGGAGGGCAGGATAATGTGAGATGGATTTTCCTATTTTAGATGACTCTCCAGAGACCTATGCTAGCAATGAGCAATAGCATCCTTTTCTCTGCCTCAGGGCAGTGAGCTTAAGACACTCTAAACATCAGAGTTTTTTCTCACCCTTGCCTCAACTGTGCAAGGGCTCCTTTTTTTCTTCTGCGCTCTGGGGTTGTGTGAGGAAGTTCCTGGGCTTTCTTGATGCAAGGTGTTAGTAAGCTGAGCTTTCTCGCTGTACTCAAGTCCTTCGCTGTACTTGTCTTCAGAGTTGCTCTCATCGATGGGTGAATGTGTGTTACTCTCCATAAAAGTAGACAGAAATGACTGAGATCTCTTAGACTAGCCAAAAGTGCAAGGGATAGTGTGCTTTACAAGAACTGTCTATGCAGCTGTGTGCAGGATTGCTCAATGCATCTTCTTTCAACCTCTGTTTACTCCCACTGATTATAGAGTTTAAAATTTTTTTAAAGAAGGAAAATAGCTTTTTGGGGAGAGATTAGGAAAAGTGAAAAAATGTTTGAAACGCGGAAAGGCAAAGGCATAAATATGGTACTTGAAAGATGCCCCAATTTGTTTAATATAAGTAAATAAATGCATTTCTTCTTTGCTGAGGGTGAGTTGGAAATACTTGAGTATTTGCGATGGAAGTGTGTGCATGTGTGTGTGCATAATAGCGGAGATTATGAGATTTACTCAGCATGAACTTCAGCGTTTCCAGCTGTGTAACCTGAGCAAGTTGGGAAGATGTGTAGATTTAATTACCATGTAAATCCATTAGCTCTAAATTTCCTGGCATTTGCTGGCTGATGACACAACCTGAATGTTATTCATTTAGTGACTTTTTTTTTTAATCCATCCAATTTTAGTGCTCAAAATGAGCAATTGCTGGTGTGAGACTCTGTATCTATCATATCTATTGTTATGGTAGGTCTCTCTTTGCTGTTTTCAAATACCAGTTTCATGTTACTCTTCATATCCTCCGGCAAATGAGTCAATTTCAGTGTAGTTAAATGACGAGATGGTAAAGAATTTTATAGTAAAGTAAAATAATAGAGCAATTATTTCTCTGCGTCTTGGTTTTGATTTTTACATTGTAGAAGATTAAAACACTACAAATCTGAGGTTCCCTCTATCTGTCCTTGGCAGCAACATAAGCCAGAGTACCATTAATCTCTTCTGTTTATCAGCATGTTTTAGGCATGACTTGGGGGGACTATGTACAGCCCGCAATCTCTTTGTTCTCTGCTGTGGCTACATGTAAGACATTTTTCCTGCCATCAGAAAGCTGTTCCAGCTATTTTGGCCCTCCCCTGGGCTCAGAGGGAGTGTCTCTGTGTCCCATTTAAGAGTGAGCGGTTATTTGTGCCTGCAATCACAAGCTTAAAAAATACTGTGGTCTGTCCAAGAGGTCTCTTGACAGCACAGATTTCCTCTCGTCCTGGTGTGGTTGCATGACTTCATTTCAAATATGCCCTGCCAAATGTAGTTCTCCTCTACCCCCCGTTAATGCATACCAAAGGTAAAGCCGGGGTATCTCAAATTGTACAGGGTACAGCCTTCCACTCTTCCACCCTTTGGTCTTGTGGGGGTGTTGGTGAATGACCCTATGGGGCTGGCCCTCTGCTCTCTGTTTCAGTCACCATCTTTGGAATAAATCTTCTGAAAAATACTGTTGCTGCCAGGCTATCCTTCGTTTCTCATCCTTGTAAGAGCAACACAGCAGGAGCTTGGATCTCTGCCTCATAACGGTGATATGTTAACACACCATGTGCCAGTGAATGAGCTTTTCTGTTCATTGCCAGCCACGTGTGAGTGAATGGTGGAGGTGAGGTTATAGGGGGCTCCATGGACTCCTTTGCTCACTCTTCGCATGATATGAGATAAGGCTGAGTTTGGAGAAAAGTGAGTGGTGGGCAACTTCCCTGCCACAAACATAAAGGTTTCTAGAAGAGGAAGCAGTTGAAGGTAGTCCCATTCCTGAAAATTTGCACCGAATCTGAATGTGTCTCTGAATCTGTTTGAAAATTAACTGAGGCCCACGTGCCAGCAACCACTGAGAACAGAGTTGTCTTGGTTGTTTGGAAGCTGACAGGCTGACTCCTCCTGTCCGTCACCAATGAGCTTGGACCAGGAAGGTCAACAGCAACGTGTCTGGGAAGAAAACACTTGCGATGAGGAAGCTTTTTAACTCATGCTGCCTTTGGGGGATGGACGTGGAAAGCTGTGGACTTCCCTTTTGCGTTGTCATCACTGATAGGATTGTATGTCCTGTCCTCCAAGAGCAATGCCTCTAGGCACTGTTCTTCATTAACTGGGAAAGGTGTGTTTCTGCGCCAAGCCCTTATGGGTAGATG